ATGAGTTTAAGCCACCAGGTCCGAGACTCGAACCACAGTTGACTACATGGGAGTCCAGCGACAGCCATTATGCCAACTGCTGGTCCCCCCTCTACCCGCTTTTCTAACCTGACCCACTGGGCACTGTGCTAGAGTGAGCAAGCATACGCGCACCCTTGCCTACCTCTGGGGTGCCGGGGCCCTGGTGGGACTCTAGGGAAACACGTTTGCGCTGTTGCCGGGTGGTGATGCCTGCACCCTCGGCTATCTGGGCTGGCTGCATGCTGGCTCGGCGCAGGGTCTCCCGGGGGTCCCCGGTTTTCATCTCCTCGTCTGTAATGGTGGCCAGGCTGAGGGAAGGCTGCAGAGTGGAAGCGGTGGTCAGTGAACCCACCCCCCCGCCTCAGGGGGATGAGCAAGAGCAGGACCTGGCAGTCCGGAACCCTTGACTGGCTTGCCCCTTGGGGCATCTGAATCCTGCCGACCTCAGTAGGATGCCTTCCCTGCCCCTCCCCTCCCCACCCACACCTGTCCAAGCTCCTGCCCACTCTGATTTTGTCCTGGAGCTGCCTCCCTGCCTGCTGTTCCATCTGGAGACACGAGGTCACCTCAGCATGCCAGAGACCCAGGACACTAGTGCTCCAGTGGACCAGCAGGTGGCACTGAGGCAGGATGCCATGGGTAGGGAGGTGCCTGGCAAGGGAGGCGGCTCACCCTGGACTCCAGGGGATAGCAGGTCTTCAGATGCGGGGGGCACACCCGATTGCGCTGCTGCAGCTCTGCAATGCGGTTCCAGTCGTCCAGCTGGTCAGGCTCATCCTGGCAGGTGCCCATGTAGAAGCTGCTCCTGCCTGTGGGTGCATGAGGCTGAGGCTGCTCACTGGCCCCGGTACCTCCCCAGCCTTTGCTGTCACCTGTCCCTCCCCCAACCCCTTGGACTTCACAACACACTGAGGCATACGGAGTCCTGACTTGGTACTGCAGGAACAGGAGAGGCACCGTGATCAGCTCTACCTGGGCCTGCTCACTGTACGTGCACTCCCTGGGTGAGTCAGAGGAGGTTGTATGCAGAGGCCGGGACTACATCTTACCCTGCCAAGGCTTGGCACCCAACACTATGAGAAACGGACTGAGGGCCAGGAATCGATACTTGCGGTTCCCAGAGCCTAAAGGGCAAGAGCCCTTCAGGGATGAGTCTTCTGACGGTCCCTCGGAACATCTACATGTCACTGTTGTCCTGGGAATCCCAGGCCCTTAATGTGTGCGGCCCTGGTCCACCCTGGCTGAGTGTGACCTAGCACAGGCCCCAGGGGCCAGGCCAGAATCTGAGACTGTAGGGAGTAGGTGCTGGAGGTCGAGAGGTGGCCAACCCCAGACTATAAAAGCTGTGTCATCCCTGTACCAGGGCCTCTTCCAAGTCAAATTTGGGGTGTGGCAAATCCTCTTACCTGGGGGGGCCCCGCTGGACACCCCAGCCTGGGAGCGGCGAGCAGAGCTGCGAGTGGTGGGCCGGTAGCCAGGCAGACTGAGCAGAGCCGAGTTGCCGTCATCGGGAGAGCCCAGGCGGCCTAGAGACTGGGTGGAGGTGGCGGTGCGTAGGCCAGCCTGGGAGGCAGGGGCGGACTGCGTGCTGTAGAAGGAGGTGTTGGCGCTGTCTGGCTCCTCCACATCCAGCTTCTGGAAGAGAACGACTCGTGTGGTGGGAAGCCTCCACCCCCTCCTGCAGGTGCCCAACCCGACAGCACATCTGCCTGTGTTCCCACACTGCCCTGCGAGGGCTGTCATCTAGAAACGCGGCTCGTGGCCAGAAACCCTTGCAAGACGTAGGTTGTCAAGCCTTTTCTACTGATGCCTTCACCAAGTCTATGAGCAATGCTCTGAGGATGGGAGGGGTGTGGTTATCGGTCCATCTTAGAGCCACAGGGGCACAGAAATGGGGCAGCTGGCCCCAGGTCCCACAGCTAGGAAGGGCAGAGCTGGGGCCACAAGCATCTCCTGAGCCTTCGCTGTCCCTCAGTAAGAGCTTCTAGAGCCTGCCCATCTGCCAAGTGAACAACTCCAGCTGCAGGAGCGGGGACCACCGGCACAAGATGCCTCATGAGGCTCCTCTCCTCTTCCTCCCACCTCCTACTCGAGATGCAGAAACAAGGAAGAGCGCCCTCAGGCTGGCAGGCCACAGCAGGGCAGTGCCGCAGGGCAGTGCCATGCAGCTCAGCTGCCCCTCTCCACACTCCCTGCCTTCTGCATGGGGTCAGCAGGAGACAGGGCCTGCCCCAACCTGCGCTCCCGAGGTCTCGGCTTTCCCCCAGGCAATGCGTGGATGGATGGCCACCCCTGTCTGCTCCTGACTGGGCAGAGGCCCTTGAGAGGGAGTGGGCATTACCATCTCCATCCCCACTCCCAGCCCCGCAGCGGCCTGACCTTGGTCATGGTGATGTTGATGATCTGGGTGGTGCGCCGGCGAGCGGAGCGGGTCTTCCGGCCAGAGTCCAGGAAGACATTCCCCAAGGAGTCCAGGCTGCTCTCCAGGGGGGCTTGACCCCGGGCAGGGATGGGGGTGAAGTAGAGACTCTCCAAGGATTCTACTTTGGGAGGCAGGCGCTGGGAGATGGGAGAGGCAGGCTCTCCAGGGACACTGGTGCCATCCGGCTGGGTACGAGGCAGCTTGCTGTGGAGAGAAACCTGCTGAGGTGCAATTCCCAAGGCTAGAAGCTTTCTGTTCATCCCTCTATTCATTTCCTTTCGTCCACGGGTGGGGGTGCAGCCCCCCAACAGGGTCCTCATGCTGATCACCTGCAGCCTCAGCTAGTCGTGGGTCACACCCGCTTAGGGAGATCTCTGGGCGTGAACCTGGAACCGTTCTGTGTGGGCCACCCTCAGGGTGGCATTACTGTGGCACCACGGTCCAGCCCCCACTGCGCTCCAAGCGCCCCGACTCGTCGACCTTTTAAAGGCCCTCCTCTCTATTTGCTCCTCGCCCTATTCTAACACGTCCACATAAACAGCCGCCCCGACACCCCCTGGGTGCTGTGGCTACTCCACAATGGACAGGCCCACACTAAGCTGATTCGTCTGCTCCTCCCTCAGCAGCTCCTATTAGAGTGAGTGGGAGCACCCTGCCCCCAGGTCCCCACACCTCGAACAGGACACAATCCTACCCTGTCCCTCTCCTGCCAAGCCAGTCGCAAGCTACCCAACAGCCCCTGACCACACCCTCCTCCCCAGCCCCCTTCCCTCGGTCTGTCTCATTCCTCCCACCCGACCTTTGAGTGGCATCTGAGAGGCAGCAGAGTGGTGACGAGCAAGGACTCGGGTCAGGCTGCCCAGGTCCAGCCCCAGCCCCAGCCCCACGTCTGGGACCCTGGGCCAGGGACGGCCTACCACGTCTGTTCATCTGTGAACAGAAGCCACCTGAGAGGGAGGCTGCGGAAAACAGCCTAGCTGTGCCAGTTCTAAGTGCTCACAGCTGAGGGAGGGCTCACACAGGGGGAGGTCTGTGTCACTAAAAACAAATGCGCTTCCAGTCCAAGTCCACCCTGGCTTTCTGAGATGGGACTCTGACCATGCGTTCCTCCACTTCAACCCTTCTGAGGACCCTCGATGCCTCAGGTCTACATGCCAGCCTCCGAGGGAGAGGCGGAGGCTGTCTGGGGTCGTAGCCCAGCCAGGCAGGCTTTCTCAGCCTTTCCCCCCACTGCAATCCTCTGCCTGCCAGGCACACACACCCATGGACTCTTCCAGGACCCAGCAGGAGTGCCAGCCTCCATGAAGCCTTTCCTGACCGAAAGCTTCAATGGTTCCCATGAAGCCCTAAGCAGGTATCTGGCGTAACACCCACAAGACATTTTATTCTTCTAGAGTAAACTGCCAGAGGGCAAAGGGACCACATGTTTGTTGTTGTTCTTTGTTGTTGTTGTTCAAAGGGCATGTGCACTTGCCAGAGAGGGAAAAGAGGAAAGCACCCCCTGGTGGGGCATGGCCACAACCCCTTCTCTTCCATTTTCCCTTCCTTTCAGGATTTGGGACACACATGCCTGGTGTTTTTTTCAAGTCACCAGGTCCGGGACTCAAACTGCACAGGCAACCATGTGAAATCTGGCTGCCTTGACCACTAGGCCACAGGATGGCCTGGGACCACATATTTATCTCACTAGCCCCAGTGACCAGGACACAGTCTGACAAACAGCAGGTACTCGATGAAAGACGGACACAGGGAGGAAGGTGCCCCCTGACCTGGTGATACTGAGTGGGGTCCCCTCCTCGCAGCTCAGATCCAGGCTGTCGATGCTCAAGTCCAGCTGGGGCTTAGCCTGGGGCTCACGGCTCTTTAAGGCGTCAGTTGCCACCTGGAATTTGCCCAGGTCTCGAAGCTGCTGGTCTGCATGGGCCACCTGGAAAGGGAGGGCCAAGAACGGTGAAGAAAAGCCTAAGGGGGGTGGTCCTGGAGAGGAGGGTCTGATGGGCAGGGGTGAGGTGCACGTGTCCGGCCTGTCTTACCTGCGCCTCCAGGCTGCGCACCTGGGCAGTGAGCTGGCGGCACGTCTGCTCGGCCTCCTTGGTTTTCAGCCCCGCCTGTTGCAGCTCCCGGCCCAGCCGCTCAGCCTCGGTCCGCAGCTCCTTGTTCTCCTTCTGCAGCTGCTCCAGGCCACGCAGCTGCTCCTGCAGCTCCTGGTTCTGCTGCTTCTTGGCATCATAATGGGTCTTGGCTTTCTCCATCTGTGCCAGCAGACACAGTGGGTGTTGTGGGGTAGGGGGCAAGTGGGACAGAGGCTGGACGGCAGGGGGCGGGGGGGGAGTGGGGTGGCACTGCACCTGCAGTTTGTAGTGCTCAGCTGCCTGCTCCTTCTGGCTCAGCTGAGCCTGCAGCTCGTTCAGCTGCGCCTGCAGGCGCTGGGCCTCCTGCTGGCTCTCACCTCCCTGGGCCTGGAAAGCCTGAGAAGAAGGGCCAGTCAGGGAGGCTTATCGGGCTGCTCCCCAACCCACTGACCTGCCCTAGCCAGGGGGTTCCCCACGTGTCTCAGACCGCTGCATATTCCCTCAGGATGCTGAAAAACCCTTTTCCACCCACAAGCCAACACCCCCCCCACTATAGTCTATGGAACAGCACGCATCATCCTGTCCACACTCTGCAGAAGTGTTCTGTGACCAGGGCCTGCCACCTGCCTGCTCTGTGGCAGCTCTGATGGCCCTCTCTGCCTGCTTTGAGACCAGGCGCAAAGTGCTCCTCCTCTTTCCATGTGCGCATGGCTGATGTCCCTGAAGGAGGGAGGGAAACTGATCCTCAGGGCACATTTGCATGCACAGCACAGAGCTCGGCATTTGGCGCGTGAGCTCTAAGGACATATGAATTTCTCTCTCCAAAACTGCTTTGAGAAAGTAACTTTGTCCGCACTGAGTTCACGCAGTTAAGTGAACTGACCAGGGTCACAGTGACTAAATGGCACAGTAAGATGTGCGCTTGGTCCACTTCGCTCTGAAGCCTGTGGGGCTCATTTACAATGCCAGCATGTTCGCTAAAGTGTGACACTTTAGAAGCAGGGTCCATGCTGGGCTGGTAGCCTAGTGGTTAAGAGAAGCCAGATCCCACATGGCTGACCATGGTTTGAATCCCAGCTGTTGTGGCTTGAAAAACACACTAATCATATGTGCCCCGAGTCCCTACAGGATGCAAAAACGGAGAAGGTACTTTGGCATACACCCCACTGGGATACTCTCTCTCTCTCTCTTCTCTCTGGTGAGCACACGTGTACTCCAACAAAATAAAAAAGCACAAGGCTTGTATTTCAGTCTCTTCCACCTGCACTGTCCCCCAGATGCCTGGTGTGTAGTGAAGCCCAGACAGGAGCACATGGCTTGCGCCAAGCCTCCATTTCCGGGTACAGGGTAGGCCCCAGGAGTGTAATAAGCATCTGTTTATCACAGAATCTGACCAGTGTGGGACGTATGGAAAGTGAGGACAGCCGGGGCTTAGAGCTTCTGCAACTCCTAGAGCCCACAGGGTTTTGGCGAGTCCTAGTGCCACCATGCCCCTGACTAATGGCTGGGAATCCTAGAACTGCAGACAGCCAACAGTAAGCCAAAGGTGGAGATGTGGTGGAGGGTACCGGGGACGCTGCTGTACCATACTATCACACTGGATGCTGCCAATGCCCACCCGAGCTCAGGCTAGCTAGACCAGTGCTGTCCGTAGGCCGTCCTGTGGTGATGACCATGCTTCACCTTCATATCCAATATGGCAGCTGGACGCAGCCCTCAAGCAGTGGAGTGTGGGGAGTGTGACTACGGAACTGAAATTTCTATTTCATTTTAATTAACTTTTTAATATTATTATTTTAGATTGCTATAGGGCATATGCCCTTGCTGGAGAGAGAGAGAGAGAGAGAGAGGGAGAGTAGGAAAGTGAAAAATCACCCCCCGGGACAAAGGCCATGCTGCAATCCTTTCTCCTCCATTCTCCTCTCAAAATTCTGGGCACATATGTACATATGTTCAGCATGTTTTTCAAGACTCAGACTCCAAGATTTGAACCACACTGTCAGCCATATGGGATCCAGCTGCCTTAATCTCCACACTACCTGCTGGATCCAGTTAACTTAAATGTAAATAACCACACATGAATAGTGGCTGCTGGAACGGATGGAGGTCTGGAGGGATGGGAAATATGCTGGTCCTCCCTCAAGATGGGCCAGCAGACAGTTGTAGGGGCTCCTGAGTCTCAGGCAGGCCTCCCAAGGCTGCCGGACATGCAGGGTGCCCCTCCGCCACCCACAGCCTGCAGGCCAAGAGCCCCTTGGCTTCTCAGCCTGCCTAGGCAGTCAGCCCAGCTCACGATCTGCTGTCCCACCTTCAGCTTCTGCTGCTGCACCTTGCTGGCTTGGTCACAGTCAGCCAGCTTCTTACTTAGCTCGTCCACCTGGAAGAGAAGAGGAGGAGACTCAGGAGGCCTTCCCTGGATGTCCAGACACATTAGGGGTTCCCCAGACCAGTATCCCCGGTGTTCCTAGGAGAAAAAGCATCGGCCCTTTCTCTCGCTCCCAGTTAGGGAACAGCCTGCTGCCCAGGCTGGCTGCAGGGTCGAGTGAGGCAAACAATGCACAGATGCTGCCTGGGCCACTTTCCTATACTCAGCCTCCACCCCCAACCTGCAGAAAGTGAGCGTGCCTGAGCCCTGAAGGCACCAGAACCAGTGGCACCAACTTCCCAGCATTCTGCTGCGGCTGCCATTCCTAGCCCCAGCTTTCCCAAATTGGGGATGGACCAGGGAGCTGGCCTACAACCCTGCAATTCTAGCAGACATTTCAATGAACATCTGTCCCTCTCACCTCCCAGAAACTGCCAAAGCAAAAGCCCACAGGTACTCAGACCTCTTCCCAACATCCAGGCTGTTAGGGCTGGTGCTAGCATGTGCTGCTGTGTTAGCAGTGGGGAACGGGGCTGGAAGGCAAGGGCAGGATAGCCCACCCCTCCCATGGGGAGAAAGAACGAGGGCAAAGGGAGACCCAGACCAGAGGGGAGCGTCACAGCCGCAAGTGCCCCGGCTCCTCCAGGCATCCAAGAGTTCAAGCATGACTGGGCAGCAGAGGGGACAGGCAATGGCTCCCTTGCTAACTGCTTGCTACTGCATTTGTTCTCATCATCTCAAGCTCTCTGGAGGAGGGGACAGAGAGAGGGCCCAACTCGGCAGTCCTGAGGTGCCCAGGCGGGAATGGGGTGGAGAAAGGGCACTCTCACTCAGTGTCAGCACAGTGTCACGTCCTGGGAGAAGCAGGCGAACTGAGACCCCCGCTGCTCCTCTTGGCCTGTGCCCCAGATGCCGCCACACTGTGCTGGGGGAAAGCCCAAGGGTGACGGTGGGCATCCCAGGCCCCTCCCTAACCTGTGCGCCCCACTGCAGAGTGGGGCAAATGCTCTGAAATGCACGGGAACAACGTCTGCTCTCCCAGACGTGGCCCTCTGGAGGTACACAACACCATTACAGCTTCCGTGAACCCCTACTCTGCGAAGGAAGGGTGCTGCCACGTCTCTGGGTGACTAGCCCGAACTAGAAACGGGACTTGGGAAGTTTGGAACCACCAGGACAGAGTCTCGCAGGTTCAGGAACAGAAAAGCCTATGCTCCCCCTGTTGCTGACAGGCAGTGAGAGCGCGCAGAGGTGGAGGCCGACCTGGGACGGGTGAGATGAGGCCCGAGCGAGGGCCCAGCGCACCACACTCCGGGCAGCCTGGATTCCGTGGCTCGACCCTGCCCCCTTCACAAACAGTTCACAACGGGAGCTGGCGGAGGCAAGCTGTAGCCGGGCTCATGCACCGAGACTGGTCACCGCTTAAGCAGCCAGCACTTAGCAAGGACCCCAGGCATTACCTGCTTAGTCTGCTCTCTCTGAAATACCTCTAGCTGCTCCACCTGTGTGTGGGGGGAGCAATGGAGACAGAGTAAGACAAGCACGAGCCACTGACCTCCCTGAGGTTGTGTCCTTCCCCCAAGGAACTAGACTCCCAGGAAGTGGGAAATGCCACTGGGACTACCCGCCGTGGCAGTGGGGTTTGTGGTGCAGGGTGCTTCAGGAGTGGGCTGGTGGTTGTCAGGACTTGCCTCTTCAGGGACAGCCTTTTAGGACAACAGACATGAGCTCCATGAGCCACCTCTCCTTTCTACCCCCTGAACGAGGGAGGGCAAGACACTGCAGTGTGGGGGTGAAGGCCCTGGAATGCAAAGGAACCATGTACCCCCCTCTCCCAGGTGTGGCTCTCTGGGATGTGGTGGAGCGGAGCCTCTTACCTGGGCAGTGAGTTTCTGCCTCTCCTCCTGGAACCGCTGCCTCTCCTCCAGCACCTTGACCTTGGCACCCTCGTACTTGGCAGTCATCACCTCCAGCTCCCGGGCAGTGCTCTGTGCTTCCCGCTGCATCTCGGCCAGCCGGGCCTCAGCATCTGTACGCACAGCCGCCAACTCCTGCACATACTTCTCCCGGGCCTGGTCCAGCTCCACTTCCAGAAACTGTCGGCCGAGGTTGGCCCGCTCACCCAGCCCGCGGTTCTCCTCCGCCAGCAGGCCGTGCGCCTTCTTTAGTTTGCTCAGCTGCTCCGCACAGCTGGCTTTCTCTGCCCGCAGCTGCTGGGCCATGCGCTCCTGCTCTGCCACCTTCTGCCGCAGTGGCACAAGCTCGCCAAGCTCCCGCTGGGCCCGCATCAGCTCGGCCCGCAGCCCGGAGGCCGCCTGCTTGCTCTGCTCCAGCTCCTCGCGGTGGCGTTTCTCGGCAGCTGCCTGCTCGGCCTGCAGCTGCTGACAGAGGTGCTTGGCGGGCAGGAGCTCACTCACCAGAGCCTGCGTGCTGGTGTGCTCTAGCTGCAGGGCAGAGAGTGCCTGCTCCTTCTGGAAGAATTTCTCCTGCCATGCCTTCAGTTCTTGGCCCAGCTCCTCAGCTCGCTCAGCCTGGGAGGCCAGCTCCTGCCTCAGGGTCTCAGAGGCCACCCGCTGTTTCTCAGCCTCCTCCCGGAGGCTCTGCACCTCTTCCCGTAGAGCTGAGCTGCGTTCTGCAGCCCTGGCGCTGCTGCTGGCTGTCTCTGCCTGGAGCAGGCGCAGCCTCTCCTCCAGCTTCTGGCTCTTCTCGGACTCGGCGATCACCAGGCGCTTCAGCTCCTTGCTCTCCCCTTCCTTCTCCAGAACCTGGCGGTTCAGGATAGATACCTCCTCCTCTAAGCTGGAGATGAGGCTGTTTTTCCTCTCGGCTTCCTGCTGGCCCCGGGCCACTTGTGCCTTCCACTCCTCCTCGGCCTTGCCATGGTCTTGGGTCTTGGCACGGAGAGTGGCCAACTCCCTCTGGGCCGAGGCTAGGGTACCCTGACTGTGCCCCAGTTCCTGAGCCTTCTCCTCCAACTGGCCCCGCAGAGTCTCCAGGGCCTGGTTTTGCTCCACCCGGGAGGCCCGCTCAGCCTCGAGGCTGCGCTCCAGGCTGCAGGCTCGCTGCTCCAGCTTGCGCACCTCTGCCTGTAGCACCTCCAGCTTTGGGTCTGCCGGCCCTGTCTTCCCAGGGGCCTCTGCTGAGGCTTTGGAGCCAGAAACCCCCTCTCCACCAGGGAGCCTGCCAGCCTGATGGTGCTCCTTTTCTTTCATGGCCAGCTGCTCCTTCAGTTGCTCTGTGGTGCGCTCCATCTTCTCCAGCTGTGCTCTCTGGGCCGCCTCCTGACTGCGGAGCTTGGCCAGCTCTTGGTCCTTGCTCTCTTTTTCTGATAGGGCATGGGCCAGAGCCTCCTGCAGGGTTGCAAACTCCACACGCTGCTCGTTGAGGGCGTTCTGCAGTCGCATCTCAAGCTCTGCCTTGGCTGCCTTCTCCAGGGCGAGGTCAGCTTGGGCTCGGCCCCGTTCCTGGGTCAGCCGTGCCACCTCCCTTTCCTGCTGCCCGCGCTCCTCCTGCTGCTGCCCCTGGCTCTCCATCAGCGCAGCCCGCAGCCTCTCCAGCTCGTTACCCATCTGCTCTGCCTCACGCTCCATGGCCTGTAGCGCCGCCTGCGTGCTGCAGAATGGGCGGCCCTGCTGCTCCTCCAGCCATTCAGCTTCTCTGTCTGCTGCCCTTGTGGGTTCCTTGAGGGGCTCTCGGGAGGCTGGGTCCTGTTGCTCACCTGCCTTGCGCACTAAGGCCTCCAGGCGGGCCACCTCCTTGCTGGTGGCAGCCATCTTCTCCTGTAGAGTGGATAGGTCATCTGCAAGCTTCTGGGCCCTGACCTCCTTCTCCTGGACCTGCTGGAGGGCTCTGGCCAGGCTGGCATGAAGCTGAGCAAGCTCAGTCTGCTGCCGGCCTATCTGGACCTCACTGTGGGCCTCTATCCCTGCCATCTTCTCCTTTGCCTCCTGCAGCTCCTGGCGGGCCTTGTCACGTTCTTCCTTTAGGGCTATCAGTTGTCCCTGGAACATGGCATCGTAATGCGCCTCCTCTCGCTGGCTGTCCTCACAGCGCTTGCGCCAGGTGGCTGCCTCCTTGCCTAGCTGCTCACATTCGCTCTCAGCCCTGCACTGGGAGGCTCTGGCCTCGGCCAGTTCACGCCGCAGGGCTTCGTTCTCGGCCTGGTGGGCCTCCCTGAGACGCTGTAGCTGGGCCTCCAGCCTCTTGTGTGCAGCCTTCTCTTCTTCCAGCTCCTTCCGCTCCTGCTTATGCTTCTCTGCCAGGCCTCGGGTTTCCGCTTCTAGCTCGCGGATACGACGTTGCTGCTCTTCCAGGCTCCCTGCAATACTGCGCTTCTCTTCTTCAAGGCTGCCCCTGGCAGCTTTCAGGGACTCCTCCAGGGCCCGGACCTGCTCCTGGAGCTGGCCCTTCTCTTGGGCCATCCTTTCTCGCTCAGCTACTTTCTGCTGCTCAGACCTCAGCTGGGCCTCCAGTTCTGCTGCCTGGGCCTGGGCATCACACTGCTCCTGCTGGATTGCCTGGAGGTGGGCACGGAGTTCCTCTACCTTGTGGCTCAGCTCTGCTTTCTCCCGCTGGATCTGGGTCACAGTGGTCTGGGCAGTGTCCCGAGCTTCATTAGCAGCCTGAAGCTGCTGCTGCAGAACCTCCAGCCTAGCAGCCTTCTCTTTCTCCAAGGCTGCCAGCTGCTGGAGAGCCCCATCCCGCTCCTTCCGGGAGGCCTCTCGTTCCTCAGTGGCAGTGGCCAGTTGCTGAGCGTGGTCCCGCCAGACGGCCTCCTGCTTCTGGGCTGCCTCCTGCAGCAGCTGCTCCTTCTGCTTCAGGCTGCTGCTCAGCTGCTCCACCTGCTGGCGGAGGTCTTGCGCAGCCTGCTCCTGATGTTGCAGGGATTCTGTGAGCTGAGCCTGCTCCTGCTTGGCCTGTTGCTTCAGGCCAGCCAGTTCTTGGTTCTGCTGCTGAAGGGTGTCATTGAGTGTGGAGAGCTCAGAGGTCAGAGAGGCCACCTGGGCAGTCAACTGGGTTGCCTGAGCCTGGGAGGACTGCTCCAGCTCCTCCTTGGCCTGGCTGAGGCTGGAGACGGAGCTCTGCAGGTCAGCAATAAGGCTGGCCAGCTGCTGCTTCTCTTCCTCAAAGCGACCCCGCTCGGCAAGTAGCTTGGCCTCCTGCTGGCCCTGCTCAGCCTCCAGCGCCTCCACCCTGGTTTGGAGCTTGGTGTTGTTTGCCGCAAGAGTGGCTGCCTCTTGCTTCAGGGTTTCGAGCTGGGGGTACAGAGACAAATGGGATTCAGTGTAACTCTTGTCACCATTCTTCTTCTGGGACCCCAAATGACAAACCCAGGGTCTGCAGCTGCCCAACTCACAGCCCTTCCTGCAAGTTCCCACCTGCAAGATATCACCCAGCACCTCGCCCTTCTCCTGGGGTGGGTTCTCCTGCAGCTGGGTCAGGCGTTCCTCCATCTGTGAAAGTTTTCCCTGAAGGATTTCATTCTTCTCTTCAAGGCATTTCTGGGAGTAAACAAGAGACCAGTGTAAACAGAAGTAGTATTACCACATAGCCCTCATGAACGCCAACAAAATGTACGACCCTACCACCTCGTTACCAAGATACCTGGCCTGTCTCTCAGAAACCACAGACCGGGGACCAGGAGGGATGTGACCTTCTGGCCTAGTTCTCAGATGAGTTAAGACAACAGCTTATTTCTCCAAGGTTACTGAGTTTACTTTAAATTTCTTTACTATATACCCTTCCTCAGACCACCCAGACCACCACCAGCTTAAACGTATCACCAGGGCACTGACAGCAGCAGTGACAGCAGCCGTGGCACTGCCCTGTCCCACATCTCCTTCTTCACTGTAGTTTGTAAGCTCCTAGAGCGGGCCAGGCTCTGTGCCGGGTGCAGCTCCCAATTTCGAATCCACCTAGAAACCTAGATGGCAGCTACTACTACCCCTCTTTAGAGCCCAGATGCCGAGGCCCAGATGCTAAGTGCCTTGCCCACAGCTAATAATTAGAAGAGCTGGGTTCTTATTGATAGCAACAAATTCACTGAAAACCTACTTCATGCCATATAATGTGTTAAGTGCCTTACACACAGTATCTCCCATAGGTGAGGCTGCTTACTCATTCCCATTTCAGGAGGAGGGTTGAGAGAAAGAAATTAACAAACGTGTCCAAGATCTACACCTGGTAAGTAGCAGAGACAGGATTGAAAGGCATATGGGACTGGAGTCCACAATCTCCCCCTTCCAGCTCACTTCTGGGCCTGGAAGAGCAGTAAGCCTAACTCCCGCAGGCCCAGAGCAGAGTGGGGAACAACTTGGCTCTACACACATGCTCGGGATGGTGGCCGTGCTCCGGGCACAGGGTTACCTTGTCCTGCAAGGCCGTGCCCAGCTCCTTCTCGAGGTGGCTCTGCTTCTCACCCCACTCGCGGGTGGCCTTGCTGTGTTCCTCCATCAGTTCGTTGAGGGCACCCTGCAGCTGCTGCAGGTGACTGGCAAACTCCCGCAGCTGAGGCAGATGAGCGGGAACCCCCATCACCCAGGGCAACACTGGCACCACCACCGCTGGCTGTCCCCCAAGTCCCAGGAGCAAGCTGCCTCCAGTTATCCTTCCGACCCTCCTCAAAGCAGTCACGGCCACTCACACTTCCCACTCAGGACTACAATGCAAAATTTAGGGGCACGGACCCTGGCAATAGTTGGGACAGGAAAAGGGGCATGGCATGAAGGCCTCTGGAGAGACCGGAGCATAAGGCAGGTGCCGAGAGTCTTCTCAGCCCTCACTTGGGGAACCTTTAGAATCCTCAGTCCCAAGGGGTCTCCATGCGGGACCAGACCACCCCCCGCCACCTTAAAGGAAAGGTCCCCATTCTCCTCCGAGAGCTGGCTGATCTTGCGGTCCATCTGGCTCTTCTCTGTCTTCAGATCCTGGCACTGCTTCAGAGTTTCATGTAACCGCATGGTAAGGCTGCAGGGCAGGGAGGGCAGGAGTGGTGAGAGGGAGCACGGCTCCAGCTGTAGCAGGGGTGGGGGCTGCAGCATGCAGGGCAGGCCACGTGTACCTCTCGTTCTTGCCACGCAGCTCCTCCAGCTCCCTGGGCTCCAGTGGGCTGGCGGCCTGCTTCTCGCTCAGCAGAGCCAGGCGGTCGACGCGCTGCTGCATCATGGCTATCTGTGCGTCTGCCGGGGCAGAGCAGGGGAGGGTCAGCAGACCGTGGGGAGAGGGGGAGAATGAGACCCCCAGGATGATCCCAGGGACATGGGGCAAGGACGGACTCCAGCTCCAGGCTGAGCTGAGTGGTCCCAGGCCAGTGAAGGGCCACATGTGAGGCTAAGGGGACATCCCTCAGGCAAGTCAAGTGCTTTACTGGATGGGAACATAAATACTGCCCCTCATGCCCACACGCCTGGGACCAGCACTCACCCTTCTCAGTGAGGAGCTTGCGGTGCTCCGCCAACTCCAGCTCCAGCTCGTCCCTGTTGTTCCTCTCATCCGCAAGCTGCTTCTTCAGCCGTCTCACCTGGAACTGTGGGGTCTGCAGGATGTCACCCATTGGGGAGGCTGGAGAGCTGGAGAGGAAGCTGAGGGAGGAGAGGACCCAGGTCAGAGCCAAAGGTCTGAAGCAGCCAGCGACAGGCAGGGAGGGGGCAAGGGTCTGTGGCTGTCAACACAGCTGGAGGCCCAGGCTCCTGGGTTCTGTAGCAGAGCTATCTCATGCCTTATGACATGACCTCAGCAGACATCTCTTCTCTCTTCCCCATGCCTTAATTTGTGGTGGGGAGGGGAGGTGATGTAGTCTCACTGAGAAAAGGACTTTATGGTAGTCACCAAGGAAGAGAGGACTTCATAAACAGGGAACAGCCTTTGAGGGAGGCCTCTGCCCATGACAGATCCCAACCAATTCTCCCAATTAGTACAGGTGAGGAAACCCCAGATTAAAGGATACTCCAAGCTCCCTGTGTTAAGACCTAAGAGGCTGGTCAACAACTTTGCCTCTGGAAGGAAAGGAGTTCATGACTGGATGGATGCATCCCAGGAGACAAGGCCCAGGACATACTTGTTCCCACTGGAGGAGGAGGCAACCTTCTGTAGCTCCAGGAAGTGAACCTCCCTTTTGGTCTGGTGGCTGGGTGGGGACTGCTCTTCAGAGAAGGTGCTGGAGCAGGTAGAAGGGACAGGAGCTGGAGTAAGAAGTAAACAAACCAAGAAAGGTTAGTAAGAGGGTGAAGAGAGTTGCATCTTTGTACAACTGTACAGAGGGAGGCACCAGGCAGAACCTGAAACCTGGGGTCAGCTACCAGAGGTCAGCATCCCTAACCAAAGCCAACAGTAGGCCTTCCATCTCCACAAAGCAGCTGTGCTCACACTGCACAAAGGAATGAGGCGCTCTCTGTGCTTGGAAACAGGACCAAATGCTTATGTTTTGCCTTCCGTTCAGCACTGCAGAAAGCCTGGACAGCCAAGCAGGGCCTCCTCATAGCACCTGTGACCTTGCGTTGAGCCACTGGCCTCCTTTCTGAACTCTTCCATCATGAACTCTTATACCTACAGCATGCCCTTTATCAAAACTTCTACTTTTCTTGGCTCCCACAACCACTGGTGTAGGCCTCTCCCACCTCTGGCCATCCATTCCCAGCCTCCCTCATCTGCCGCCACTTGTCCATGCAGGCTCTAAGTTCACAGAGGATGACGGCCTCCTCATTCTGCCTGTAGTGCCCAGGGTGTCAGCAGCCACCCACGTGCTGACTTGCAACCCTACTTTCTGGCCAGAGTCCTCTCCTGTATTCTAGACTTACATTTCTAACATCCCCTCCTGAAGGTCTCCTGAGGAACCCAAATGTGACAATCATCAAGTTCAACAGGTAGAAGAAAACTCGCCTGCTCACACTACTGACCTTGTCAGCAGAGACTGGCAGAACTCCCACTCCTCCTCCCGCACGACCAGTCACGATAGGAGAAATATTCTGCACCTAGATTCTTTATCATACTTACTGGTTTATGTATCTGCCTTCTCACCCAGAAAATGAGCTTCAAGAAAAGAAAACCCAGGACCAGCGGGTGACATAATAGTTACGTTGCTGGACTCCTATATGGCCGACCATGGTTCAAGTCCTAGACTTGGTGGCTGACACTCATGCTGGGTGTGTGTGCCTGTATGCCCAAAATCCTAAGAGGAGACTGGAGGAGAAGGGACTGTGGTGCAGCCATCCCCCTGGGGAATGACTTCTTGCTTTCTGACTCTCTGACTCTGTCTCTCCGGCAAGTACACAAGCCCTGTAGCAAAAATCTCTCTTAAAAAAATAAAGAAGAAAAAAAAAGAGAGGAAAACCTCTAAGACTATATTCTCAGTGTCTAGAAGCCTAGGGTTGTGACTGTGACTGTTTAAAAAACAACAACAAAAAAAGGCGTGAATGGCGGGAGGGTGATCAAGGACAACCTAACAGCAGATGTAATCCCTTATAAACAACCTGCTTCACTGCTCCCAGGCAGCAAGGAGCAGCGCCATAGGAACTGAGATAATGGCAACATGGCCCAGAGATTGAGCGGCTCTATCACACACCATTTTCCTGAGCACCAACCTGTGTTGGGGACAGATGCCACTGCACCTCTCAACAGCTCAAGATCCTGCCAGTCCCCAGCCCAGCGATGCGGATCCTTGGGAGTGTAACCTACTCACATTTCTGTAAGAAGTTCTCCAGGTCCTCGTTAAGGTTTAGCCCATCCTCGTGGTCCAGCACAAATTTAAGAATGGCCGCCAATTCAGCCTGCTCAGAGAAAAAAGGGGCATCACTCAGGTGTCATGGGGGCTCCGGCCTGGCAGTGCCAATCCCAGGTCCTCTTGAGCCCCAGAGCCTGACAGATCTCATCTTCCTCCAGAGCCTAGAGCCCAAGGTCAGCCAACGTGTTCGAATAGAAACACGTTACCCCACTGCTCCCTGCCCGTCTGCCTTCCTAAAGATGTCCCTCAGGTTAGACAGAGCTCCTAACTGCCTTCACTCCTGACCAGGAGGACAGAGGGGCAAGGAAAGGCGCAGTCGGAACGCCTTTAACTACCACTCTGCTGGCCTCTTCCAGATGAGCCTACCAGCGGAAAGAATGACGTAGAGAGTGACGGTTTTGTATAAAAGATGCACACCCGGGAACACATAGAGGAAGACAATAATTTCTACTATTCATAGGACTGATAAATACATGTACATAAAAAAGGACTTGGAAGTATACCCTTTATCAGGAATATCTGGTAGTGAGATTACTGACAGCTATTATTTCCTCTCTATCTATGCTTTTCAATATTTTTCAGATTGTGTATTAGAATGGCTGAAATTACTACAATCATATATTTTAAGAAATAGGGTACTGTCTCATTATGTTGACCAGGCTGGCCTTGAACTTGCAATCAACCTGCCTTGACCTCCCACAAAGCTGAGATTACAGTGAGCACCGCAGTACTGGCTCGTGACCATATTTTTCTTTTCTTTTCTTTCTTTCTTTATTTTCTAATCAACTGAGTTTTATTTGTCGTATAAACCACCTAACATCTTTCAGGTGAAAAAATACTAAATTTGAATAAAGATATTACAAAATGAATTAGAGCCCAATAAAAATTAGCTTTGGGGGAGGGAACATAATTCTACACAATTAAGGCAAGCATTTTTATAGACCACAGATTAGTTTATTTTTAACACCCATCATGCCATGAATTCCAGTAGCTCAGGCTCCTTTCCATTGGCTCTCACAAAGTGTGCTTCTCTGGGTGGAGCAGGCTGGCACTTTAGTTGAACCCAGGTACCTTTCTCTTTGGCTTCTTTCTTTTTCTGGTCATTTTCCTTCACACGTTTTAGGAAGCTACCTATGCTCTTAGAATGCTTAATATGCTCAAGAGCACACTCATTCTCTTGGCAAGAATCTTGCCCTTGTTTGTTCACAACAATGCCAACAGCATGCTGGGTAACATTGTAGACTCTTTCAGTTTTGCCATGGTAACATGTGTGGGGCATTCCTTTCTGAACAGTACCCATTCCCTTAATGTCTACAATATCACCTTTCTTGTAGATTCGCATATATGTTGCCAAAAGAACCACTCCATGTTTTCTAAAAGGCCTAGAGAACATATATCAGGTGCCTCTCCTCTGTCCCTTTTCAACATTTTGGTTAATTACTGGAAGATGGTGGTTCTGGTCAAAAGGGACGACCATATTTTTAGAAAGAGCAACATATACTGTTTAAAGGAAGAGTGACATGAGAAGAAGCCCAGGTTCTGCCCACTGGGTGGGGTGAGGGCACCCACACTTACCTGAATCTTATACTCAAATTGCTCCCAGTCCCTGGGGCTTTTGGAGCTCATGGTAGAATGGTACAGGAGCAGCATGGTCATCTAGAAGGCAAATGGGATCATCACTGAGAAGGCTGTGCCTCTCCTCAGAACTCCCACTCTCTGGACTTTTCTGCAGACTCTTCTGAAATGCCAGAATCCAGCAGCCCTAGCCAGTATCCTTACCCACCCCAGAAACACATTCTGCTGCTTTTTTTTTTTTTTTTTTTTTTTTTTTAATTGAGGACTCAACACATACTGTGCAAAAATTGGGTGCTGGGATTCCTACATGGCTGAATTCCTGGACTCATGGAACCCTGGGTGAAGCTTGTGGCGCCCTCTGTAGGCCAGTAGCAGGAAGCAGCTGAGGGAGTGAAGCTACTGAGATAATAAAAGAGGTCTGAGGCTATCTGGGCTGCAGCCTACAGTAACGGCCAAGCTATCCTCTTTGTAATAGGATCATGGGCTCTCAGAATCCCTAGCTGAAATCAGCCTCTGCCCCAGAGAAGTAGCTGCTCGATCCCAAGAGCCCAGAAATAAAGCATCCACCACCTTCTCTTGGGTTAAGAGAAGGCCCTGAATGTCCCTCAGGATCTACCCACCCCCAGTCTGGTAGACCATAGGTACCTTGGCCAGTTCCAGCTCTGACCCCTCCATTGCCTTCTGCACAGACACCAGGCATTCTGGAGAAGAGGGATGTTTTCGGTTTTCTGCAATGACAACAATGTAGAAAATGGGGTGAGCTTCCTGGGAACCATCCCCGAGGTCCTCAGAGCACTGGAGTCTGAGAAGCAGAATCACTGTCTTAGCAGAGCTTTGAGCGTAGGGCTCCTTATTCTAGGCCTTCTCTCCACGGACTTGGACTTCACCATCTAGTCAGTTCTAACTCTGGATTGCTCTAAGAACTACAGGGATGGTGCAAGAAGAAAATAGGCTGGGAATTCACAGCAGCTCTGGGTCATGGCAATGTACTCATTCACCCACTCACCAAGCCCCATTCAGCACCAGAGAGAAGGAGCCCAGAGATTCCAGGTCACTGTAAAGCCTGTTCCAACTGAGGTCACGAAGGAGGCCAAGTCAGAACAGGAAAACTGGGAACACCTGGCTCTACCCTGCCAGAGGGCCTGGCCTGCACCGGGGGGCTGACACCTCACCTTCTGTATAATTCTCTTGAGGTGGATGGAGATGGAGACAGCTCCCACGTCAAAGACAAGGACTCTGTGGTCCCGGCTGGACACAGGGAGGGGAGCTGACAGCACAGTGCTAGAAGCTCTGTGTCTTACTGAATCCACCCATCAACCTCCAGAAGGCTACATGAGCAGGGGCAAGGTGAACACGTATCACCCAAGCAGTTAAGTTACCTGGGGAGAACTCTTTCTCTTGCAAAGGAAAAGAGGGTAATATGGACCCTTCCCTCTCCTCTGTCTCTTTGAAGAAGGGGACAGGGGTCCAAGGCAATGAGTCCCTAGAGGTGACCTCTGGCTCTGTCTAGGTCCCTGAGATGGGCTTTGGGACTGACGGGCATTCTTTTTACACTGACTGGCAGAGGCCTCACAGACCCAGGGAAGCTGACCCGGCTGCACTCGTGTCTGTGCTAATGAGCAGGGAGGGAGCTGTGAACTTTTCTCTTCTGGACACCCATGAATGGTTCCTCTGAACTCCTGAGTCCCAGGAAGTGAAGTAGCAGCTCCTGCCCAGGTAGGTAAGAAAGGTGCTTACTCTGCAGAAAACTGCACACAAAGTCCAGTCTTTCCGACAGTGGCCGCTGCGAGATTTGCTGCCCCTCCTCAGTGCCATGGCTAGAAAGAGAGCAAGTGTTAGGACCCGAGGGCTGAGCCCCTCCTGGGCGCACATTCCGCACCACCGCCCCTTCCTTAGGCCCAGTCTATGCAGGACTCGGAGAGGATCAGGCCAGGTTTTGGAGGTTGCCAAGAAGATACCAGGACCCCATTTACTCAGATGGAAGCACGTGTGGGTGAGAAGTGGGGATGTGAGGCTGGATGTGCAAGAGAAGAATGCACTCTGCCATCCTGTTCACAAACAAGAAGTCTATGGGACAGGGGCTGACAGGCAGATGGAGTGGTCTGGAATAGCCCAACCCTAAAATCTCAGGAAGTCTGGAAAACATGGCTGGAGTAAGAGCCAGGACCACAGGAAGGGAAACACAGACCTGAGGACAGAAAGGCTAGAAGGGACCAAGATTCTCACATGTCAGGGCAAATTTCTCTCATTTGGTTGAAGGCAGAGATGGCTAGAGCCTCCCAGAGCGGGGCCTAGGGACATCACTGTTGATGAGTGACCTTTGTCTACCTGTGTAACTGGAAGGCAGGCAGTGTGACAAGAACGACGACGGCGGGAGACAGTAGGGGGAGCTCTGACACAACCCTGGGCGCCCGGGCTGCCACATGGAACTGCAGTTCCGTTTGTGGAGGAGGGTCGCCGCACCTCTGACGCAGGTGAAAGAGCACCTCAAGTCGGAAAGCAGACTTCTCTGTCTAGGCTGGAGGGGCTGACCGAAGGACCCCCTGTTCCTCCTGACCCTTGAGTCTCCACCGACAGGCCCTGGAACCTTCCATGCCCGAGGCAGCTTGTAAAGTACAAGAGGCATCCAGGCCAAGACCAGGCGAATACCTCCCCCATGTCTCACGTGATCACAAAGGCGTCTCCCACATGCTTCATTAACCCCTGTCCTGTACACATGCTGGATAGCTGGTCTGAGATCGAGACTCCTGCACAGTCTTAAAGAGGTGCTAATCTCCCGGATTCCTAAACGAACCATCTTTCTAACCTACCCACAATCCGGATGTCATGATTCCTTACCTCAGTGTAGGACGGCATTTATCTAAGTGTATTCCACTAAATAAAACAACAAAAAGAGGGTCTGGATAAATGTTTGAGAAATGCCAGCTTAAACTAAATTGAACACTTTTTTCTTTCTTTTCTTTTTTTTAAAGAGAGATTTTTGGTATAGGGCGTGTACAATCCCCAGGGAGGACAGAGAGAGACAAAGTGAGAAATCATCCCCCAGGGGGAAGGTCACACTACATGCCTTCTCCTTCAGTTTCCTCTCAGGATTTTTTTTTTTTTTTGAGAGGTTTTTCGCTATAGGGCGCGTGCACTTGCCAGACAGACATAGAAACATAAAGCGAGAAATCACCCCCCGGGGGGGTGGTCATGCCGCAATCCCTTCTCCTCCATTCTCCTCTCGGGATCTTGGGCACGCACGCACACGCGCCCAGCGTGAGTTTTAAGCCACCGGGTCCGGGACGCGAACCACGGTCGACTAGGTGGGAGTCCAGCGACATAGCCATTATGCTAACTGCTGGTTCCCCTAGTTTCCTCTCAGGATTTAAGGCATGTACGAACATGTGTCTGGTGTGAGTTTAAGCTGTCGGGTCCAGATTGCAATCTGTGGTCAACTATGTGTGAGTCCAGCGATATAACCATTATACCATTTGCTGATCCCTAAGTGGAACATTTTCAAAAGAGGACATAATATGCATTTTTTCTTAAACTTCACTGACCACAAAACTTCTTTTCCCCACAAGCTCCTGGTATAAGTAGTTACATAGAACATGATTTGGAAAATGCTAGTTCTAAAAAATTCCAGCCTATCCTTAAAAAAAAAAAACAGAGGGGAGTCGCTGCTGAGGTGGCCATGGGCGCAGGTGGCTGCAGTGGTTCTCTGCGAGGCCGGGCTGGCCAGCACCTGGCAGTGAGGACAGGCTCCCGGGGTGGGAGGAATGGTCTTCACCTAGGGCGGTGGGAGAAGTGGCTGAGCCCAGGATGCTGAGGAGGCGGCGCAGCGGCTCCTCACTCATCCCACATGTTGATCACCTTTCTGAAGTAGAATCTCCATGGCCTGAACGTTTTCTGAAAATCATTTTAAGCAAAATATCAATTTAATAACAAGATAACCACAGCAAGATGGTTGGAAAACTGAAGCAGAACCTACTGTTGGCCTGTCTGGTGATTAGTGCTGTGGCTGTATTTTCCTTGGGCCAGCATGCCATGGAATGCCATCACCAAATAGAGGAACACAGCCAGCCAATCAAACGGGAAAGTACGAAGACCACTGTGCAAACCGGCCTGGACATCAAAGCCGACAAAACCTTTGCCTATCACAAAGTTACGCCTTTGATATGTATTGGAGGTGTAACTTAGAGTGGAACCACACTCGAGGACCATGCTAGATGTACACCCTGACATTCGCTGTGGAGGAACCCAAGGTCACATTCCCTGAAGCAGATGTCACACTCAAGTAAAGAGAAAATCCGCTTGGATGAGGCTGGTGTCACTGATGATGTGCTGGATTCCGCCACACAAGCCTTCTTACTAGAAATTATTGTTAAGCATGGAGAGCCAGCCCCTTATTTATGTAATAAACATCCTTTTGCCCTGAAATCCTTAACTTACCTTGCTAGGTTATTCCCCAAGGCCAAATTCCTCCTTATGATTCGAGATGGCCGGGCATCAGTACACTCAATGATTTCTCGAAGGGTTTGACCTAAACAGCTACAGGGACTGTCTGACCAAGTGGAATCGTGCCAGAGACTATGTAGAACCAGTGTATGGAGGTTGGTTACAAGAAATGCATGTTAGTTCACTATGTGCAACTTGTCTTACATCCTGACTGGTGGATGAGAACACTCTTAAAGTTCCTCCATATTCCATGGAACCACTCAGTACTGCACCATGAAGAGATGATTGGGAAAGCTGGGAGAGTACCTCTGTCAAAGTAAGTGGAAGTTACGTTTTAAATTTTGACTTATATTCGGCTAATAAATATATGTAAAGATTATGCATGTATGTGTGTATGTGCTTGTATATGTATTCTATGTGTATTGATCATATGTGTGTGTCTGTATGTAAATAAAATGCAGGCTTTTTCTGAAACAGAGCTTCATTGATGAAGTTTGTTGTTGCTGTTAATTCTCTACCAGTTTATTTTAGACTCTTTTATTTATTTAATTCATTTGTTCATTTATATATTGTGGTCCTTTTTATTTGTCTGATACATGCAATCCCAATAATTTACAGGCAATAAAAGGCCTTTTTGACTCTCTCTCACACACACACACACGCACACACACGCACACACACACACACAGAGGGTATATATGTGACAGGGAGGAGGGGAGAGAAAAATGCCAATGGGGCTTGGTCACAATCAATGTCCATAGACAAATGCCACAGTTTAGGTTTTCTGGCGAAATATCTCTACTGAACTTTGCTTTTTAAGCACACAGCTATCACAAACATGGGAAGGCCTTTGTTTCTAGGCTGTTCACACACAGAACAGACAGGGAAACATGTCAGAGGGCCTCACACCAACGAATTTCCCATGGAGAAGGATAAGCGGTCAAGGAACCAAGCCCTGTTCAAGTCCCACAGCTTCCAGAGTTGGTGAGCAATCAACTCTCCCATCCTCCACTGCCTCTACAAGAACCAGGCTGCTGCTTCAGGCTGGCACCACCAGCATGATCAGAAATGCAGAAGTTAGAACACAGTAGCTTGGAAGGTCTGCCTTCCCAAAGGAAGCTGGTCTGCATTGCTGTGAACCTGCAGTGAGGTTAAGTTAACCCGGGATTTCAATAGCCCCTGTAGCCCCTCCCTCCACCTCTCTCTGTCTCTGTCTCGCCCATCCCTGTCTAAGGCTCAGGCGTCACCCTAGAAGATAATTTGGATAACAAGCATCTTGAATTCTTAACCATCCCTGTGAAAATGCCCCATCAGGTTATATAAAACTACAGTGGCTAAACCAAGGACAACACATACCCTTACTCCTGGTACATCTACTGTTCATCAACAGGCTGAGGGAATTTATCTCAAAAGCAAAATTCCTCCATCAAGTCAAAAGAGCATACTGCCCCCTACTGTATGTTATTGTACAATGCAAGGCACGTTACACCTGGGTATCTTTCTTTGTGATGTTAAAATGAAACAGTGGACCAGATATTGTCAGCCTAAGGGTTCTACTGGTCATCGATGTTGGTTACCTGCATCTGTCACTCTATCAGGGTTCGCAAAATAATTTTTGTGAAGAGTTGCAAATGCTGATTTATACAATCAAAAAAAAAAAAAGAAAGCCATAAGCTGGTCAAGTTAGATCTAATGGTTTATAGGCAACAAGCAAAACATAGGAACAAGTAAAGCAGTACCACAATGATAAAATGAACAAAACCCAGGATTTAAGAATTTCTGTGGGCTTAGGAAAATGGGACATGGTGGGGAGAGAGAAACAAACAGGCAACGACTGCTAAGAGGAGATGGGCCCCTGACGAAGCTCTGGAACAACAGGCTCCGGAGTTTAGGTTTTGACCTATTAGCAATGAAGTCGCTGAGGTGCAATGAAGAATCCCTGAAGCAGCGCAATGAAAGCAGGACTTGAGAAAACTCTTGAGATCACATGTGTAGGACAGACTTGTGTAAGGACAGATTAGAGCACAATGAAGCCAGGTAGGCCTGGTATCCGAAATGAGGCAGAAAAAGGGCCATGAGAAGTTTCCAAAGGACAGAGATCCATTACAAATCAGTGCCAAGGAGAGAGGAATCTAAGATAATGCTGAAATGTCCTGCCAGGGTCGCTATGAAAGAAAACGGTAGTGTCTGGACCACAGTAAGAGTGGCTTCCTTCAGAGGCACTAAGGCAGATGCTGGTTGGAAATACGGCTTTTAAAAAATCCCATAAGATACCCCATTAGCAATATACATTTCAAAGTATACTGTAAAAAACATTCTAGCAGATCCATCTGTCCTGTGCTGCCCAGCCCTACAGACTTTGCTGATGGAGAATACCAACTACATCTTCATTCACTTGCTTACTCACTCAACAAACATCCGTTTTGTTTGTTTGAAAGATCTTTGCTGTAGGGCGCACGTGTACCCGCCAGAGACAGACAGAAAGCGAGAAATTACCTCCTTGGGGGGATGGCCACACCACAAACCCTTCTCCTCCATTCCCCTCTTGGGATTTTGGGCACACATACAAATGCATCCGACATGAGTTTCAAGCTGCTGGGTCCAGGACTCAAACTACAGTTGGCCACATGATAATCCAGCACCTTAACCACTATGCCACCTGCTGATCCCTCAACAAATATTAATTAAAACCTAATCCAAGTACTGTCTTAGGCTAGGTGGGAAGGATCCCAAGATGAATCTGATATAGTCCCTGCTTTTCAATACATTTTATTAAAAAAAATAGGGGTCGACTGCTGGCATGGTGGGTAAGGTTGTTGGATCTCACATGCCAACTGTGGGGTTCAAGTCTTGAACCCTGTGGCTTGAAAAAATATGCCAGGCACATTTGTATATCTGCCAAAAATTCCAAAAGGAGAAAAGGAGAAGGGATTGTGGTGTGGCCATCTCCTATGGGGAGTGCTTAATTGCTTTCCTTTCTGTCTCCCTCTGGTGAGAACATGAGCCCTCTAGCAAATGTGAATAATAATGATAATCACAGGACCAGCAAGATAGCAGGGTAGTTAAGGTGGCTGGATCTCACACGCCAGGTGGACAAGTGGGTGATACTGGAGGCTGAGGCTGCTTCATCTCCCGTGGCTGACTTCATAGTTCAGGTCCCAGACCCAGCAGCTTAAAAGTCATGTAGGGCACAAGTGTGTGTGTGCCCAAGATCCCGAGAGGAGGATGGAGGAGAGGAGACTGCAGTGTGGCTATATCCTCAGGGGGTGATTTCTCACTTTTCTTCTCTCTCTCTCTCTGCCTCCCTTCAGTAAGGGCACATGCTCTACAACAAAACTAAGAAAAGAAAAAAAGAAATACACCAGGCATTTGTGTGCACATGCTCAAAATCCTGCAAGAGAGAGATGGAAGAGAAGGGATTGCAGCATGACCATGCCTCATAGGGGGTGCTTTCTCCTTTCTCTCAAGTGCAAATGCCCTCTGGCAAATAAATAAATAATAAAAATAACTAAAAAACAAAAACAAAAAACTTTAGCTTCTAGATGGGCTGATCTTCATTTGGTTCCAGAGTAAGATATAAAGAGGGAGACCCATTCCATGGTTTCTCAGACAACTGTGATGCTCAAAGGAAACATGTGCTAAAGATATAGATACAAAACTAAAAAGCAAATTCTGGCTACATGATAACTTTATCAAATGCTCATGGACTTCAGCAGAAAAGACAATTACAGAAATGTTTCAATGGCATAGAAAGGGCACCTCTGTACTAACAACTTAGGATGAGATTTCTAGGTATTCTTACTTTTCTCAAGTATAAGAGCTTTCTCTTCCTTCCTCATAGCCCCAGACGTACAAAGAGGGTTTGTGATGCTGGGAAGGGATGAGTCAAGAAAAGAGAGTTGATGAAGACCCCCGTTGGGACAAGAAAATGGGGAGATCTATAGGATCCTTGGGGCTTAGAACAGTATGATAGCAGCGTCTCGGAGGTTCTCTGTTCAAGAGCAAGGAGCCTTAGGATGGACCAAGCATGAAACCTCTCTCCCAAAAAGGCACAGTGACTACAGGATGAGGTCAACGTGTCCTGCTTCTGGGCCCATCCTGATGTATGATATCCCAATCCTGCCCACACTTTCCCTCACCAAGGGAAGGGAGCAAACGCAGCCAGCCCTGCACCCCAGCAGTCAGCGTGCCTGAGAGAACGGAGGGGTGAGGTGCGTACTCACATGCTATCGATGATCTTGATGAAGACTCTGCAGTCCTGGAGTTGTGGCACAGCCTCCACGGGGTCAGCCACATGCAGACTGTTCACCTGTGAGCCAAAGGGAGCACCGAGTGAGACTAAAGCAATGCCAGAAGCAATATGGTTCACTCCTCCCAGGCGCTGACAGTTCCTGCTCACTGTGAGCACTATGCTGTGAGCCACGGGAATAAAGGAGCTGATGACACTAGGGTTTCAACTTCAGCAAAAGAACGCTATCCATGTGCAGCATGGAAAGTGCGACCAGTGGGGCTCCTTCCTTCAGTTTCAGCTTATTCCCAGGGGCTAGCAGGTGGCATGGAGATTAAGGTGCTGGACTCCCCATACCGCAGTTTGAGTCCTGAACCTAGCGGCTTGCTTTTTCACTTTCCCTATCTCTCTGTCTCTGGTGAACACACATGCCTTAAAGTAAATGAAAATAATAATTGAAAAATTAAATTAAAAAAAAACAAAAAAAAAACACGGGGCCGGCAAATGGCACAGTGGTTAAAGGAGCTGGACTCCCACATGGCCGACCATGGTTCAAGTCTCAGACCTGGTGGCTTGTTTTCTCACTTCCTCTCTCTCTGTTTCTCTCTGATCCAACTGGAAAATAATAATGATAATAATAATAAATAAAGTTAAATAATTCTTTAAAAACACACACACACACACAACTTATTCTCTTAGGATATTCCAGCACAAGAAACAGTTCTGTTGTCTCTAGAGAGAGGAAGCTAGTAGCAGGGAGCTTGAGATAGGAAAGAAATAGGCTTTTATGTTGTAACCCTCTGTAGCTCTTGAATAATTATTATTATTTGTATCTCTTGAATTTTTACATTATAACCCCCTGTTGCTCTTATTTTTTTTTTTTTAATTTTTGCACAGAGATGGCCACATGCAGTCTCTTCTCCTCCATTTTCTTGTTGGGATATTGGGTGGGCACGCACGCACATGCACCTGGCATGTTTTTTAAGCTGCTGGATATGGGACTTGAATTACGCAATTGGCCATTTCAGATCCAGCAGCCTAAACTACCATCTCACCAGCTGGCCCAAGCCCTTGTAACTCTTGAATTTTGAAATATCTAGTTAAAATGTAAACATTAATGTATGTTACACATTCTCACCCAAATATATAATCCTGCTACTAATGATTCCTTTTTATTCTTTTATTCTTCCCAGTCATAAAATTTTGACTGAGGAGAGGAGGAAGAAATAATGCGAGAATGACCAGGAAGTGGAGGTTAAGGCTGGGTGCAAGAGTGTGGGCATGCCCAAAATCCCGAGAGGAGACTGGAAGAGAAAGGACTGCGGTGTGGCCATCCCCTCTGTGGAGTTATTTCTCATTTTCTCTCTCTGTCTCTCTCCAGCGAACATATGCATCCTATAGCAAAAACTGGGGGCAAAATGAGAAAGAATAAGGGAACAGTTTTTTTTGTTTTTTTTTTAAAGGCCCAGCTGTGGTGGCACAAGTGGTGGGGCACCACTCCAAGAGGCTAGGGCTCAGACTTGGTCCCAGATCAACAACCCAGACCAGCCAGCACAGCAGCAGGACTATAATCTTAGCTAACCAGGAGGCTGGGGCAGACGGCTGCTGTCATACAGCTCGTTCCTGCCCCCACCGCCTCCTGCTTGTACTTTCTCTCTCATTAAAATAAAAGTGAGGGGAGAGGAGCTGGAAACCAACCCCCAGCCCCTGCAAAATTCTCAATTCCAAGTTAACTGTTCTCTTTCTTTGGCTTTAGGCAGGCATCCACCTAAATTAGTTTTTACCACTAGAAAATTCACCAGGAGTCACATGCAAATAAATCAGGTACACAAGTTATTCAACAAACATATGTTTTGATGTCTACAGAAAAACCTCAAGAATTCCACAAGCATTAAAGTTCAGAAGTAGCCTGGGCTGAAGTTTACTTTTTATTATCATAGCAAGGAGGGTTTGCTAAAGTTAATTAATCACATATGCAACACTAAGAGGAGCAAGAGACTGCTTAAGAAACAATGGACTTTTAAGAACTGTAGCATAGTAATTACGTGCAGACAACTAGATTCTATTGCTTATGTGTTCTCTAAATTTGGGCCAGAGCTTGTAGATATAGATTTTATTTTATTTTTCAATTGCCAGAGAGAGAGAGGAGGGAGAGGGAGAAAGCACCTCTCAATGGAGATGTCATGGTGCAATCCCTTCTCCTCCATTTCTCCACCCTATTGGGATTTGGGACGCGCACACACATGTGGCTGGCACGTTTTTCAAGCTGCCCCTGTTTCCCTCTGTGTCTATTTCTTCCCTTTTCAAATGGGTGGAATCCTTCCTTACCTTATCTAGTGACTATCTGCACATGTGTGTATGTTCTATGCACTCTTCTCACTAACACTTTCTCGCTCATTAAAGAAATAAACTTAAAACAGACATTCAAGAGCACAGAATGAAACATCTTATCAACTAGCTCAAGTTACTAAAGGAACCTGGATTCATTACCTATACCAATAGTAATTTAGCAAGTTTCTTTTGTAGATATAAAAATATTTTTCTTCATTTGAAAAATCTTTAGAAGGTGAAGAAATGGCCCAGTCATGGTGGCACAACCCTCTGCGATGCCAGAACCATACAGGCCACGGGCTTTGTTCCCAGGTTAACCTGTACTCACTGGGTGTGTCCATGATCTTGGCTGGCTGAAAAGGCCGGGCGAGGGGGTTGTGGCATGAATCCCTGTTGAGGATGCTTTTCTTTCTCTTTTTCTTATAAAATAAATAAACTTTAAAAATTTTTAAAAGGAGAAGGTTGAGGAAATAGAGAAGCACCATCTCTACTCTGGGTATAAAGCATGAGGGTGAGGAATGCTCACTACGTAAGGGCTGCAAGATTGCTTAAAGTTGTAGCATCTTAACATTCCCTTTAACGGCTTATTATGAGTTGCTGTTTACAGAATAAATAGTTTCAAGCTATACTTATTTTTTTTAAGAATTATTTTTATTTATTTATTTTAATTTGACCAGGGAGCGACAGAGTGAGAGAGAGAAAGAGAGAAAGTGAGAAAGTGAGCTACCAGGTCTGGACTTGAACAGCAGTTGGCCATGTGGGAGTCCAGCGCCCTTAATCACCACACCACCTGCCGACCCCCAAGCTATACATTAGGTAAAATAAAAACTTATTTTTACATTATAAAATAAATGAATTACAATTCAGAAGACAAAAAATCCTTTCCATTCATTGTGGTAATTTAATATGTGCATGCCTGGTTTTTCTTTTTTTTTTCTTTTACGGTTTTTGCCATAGGGTACATGCGCTAGAGAGAGATGGAAGGAAAGTGAGAAATCCCTTCTCCTCTATTTTCCTCCTGGGATTTTGGGCACACATACATGTGCCTGGTGTTCTATTTTTTTTTTTTTTTGGGGGGGTTTTTCTATAGGGCACATGTGTTCGCCAGAAAGACAGAGAGAAACAGAGAGACAGAAAACAAGAAATCACCCCCGAGAGGGGATGGCCACGTCGCAATCCCTTCTCTTCCATTCTCTTCTCGGGATCTTGGGTACACATGCACACACACCTGGCATGAGATTAAGCCACGAAGTCCGAGACTCGAACTGCGGTATACTACGTGTGAGTCCAGTGACATAGCCATTACACCCACTGCTGATCCCTGCCTGGTGTGATTTTCAAGTTACTGAGTCTGGGACTCAAACCACAGTCGGCCTTGTGGGAGTCCAGTACCATAACCACTCTGCCACCTGCTGGCCCCACATTTAGCATTTTGATGTATTGCTTTCTGATTTTTTTTCCCTATGTAATATTTTTTATAATTTTATGTATTTATTCATTTATCTCAATTTGACCAAAGAGAGACAGAGAGAGAGTGGAAAAGCAAGCTACCAGGTCTGGGACTTGAACTGTGGTCTAGCACATTATCCACCATGCCACCTGCTGGTCCCTCCCTAAGTAATATTTTAAAAAGCACAGTTGTAATTATCATGTGCCACTTTTCTCAATAACATCACAGAAGCACTATTTAATGTTGCCTCTGTTTCTTAAAATTTGCTATGGCTGATAAGCTTTGTTTAAACTGAAAAATGTCTACATAACTATACTTTAATATTTTAATGACTTTCGTTGATTTTTTGAGAAAAGTACACAAATATCTGTTGTTAAATAAAACTGTTCTTCTGTTCTGTTTTGATAAGCAGTCACTGTAAAAACAAGCCTGGAACCTAAATAAATAAATAAATAGATAGATACACCAATCAATATAAAACAACGTGGTTCAGGGCTGGCAGGTGACATGGTGGTTAAGGCACTGGGTTCCCACATAGCTGACTGCAGTTTGAGAACAGGACCTGGTGACTTGCTTTCTCACTGTCCCTTTCTCTCTCTCTCATCATAATGACAAATCAAATAAAATAAATAATTCTTTTAAAAAATATATGTATTAGTTAACTGGGGACCAGCAGTTGGCATAATGGCTATGTCGCTGGACACCCATGTAGTCAATCATGGTTTGAGTCCTGGACACAGCAACTTAAACTCACACTGGGCACACTTGCGTGCATGCATACGTGCCCAAGATCCCGGAAGAGAATGGAGAAGGGACTGTGGCATGGCCATTCCCCATGAGAGAAGGATTTCTCACTTTCCTTCTATCTCTCTAGCACATGCACCCTATGGCAAAAATCTTAAAAAAAAAAAAAAAAAAAAAAAAAGCTAAGCATGCACATATTAAATTACCAGAATGAGTGGAAAGGATTTTTTTGTCTTCTGAGTTGTAATTAATTTATTTTATAATGTAAAAATAAAGCAAAAAAGATTTCTTGCTTTCTGTCTCTGTCTTTCTGGTAAGTGCACACACCCTATAGCAAAAACCTCTCAAAAAAACCCAACACATTAGTTAACTAAAAAGCAATGTGGTTAAAGGAGCCCCAATATTCAGTTACCTTTGCTGAATTAGAAATAAAGCTCATGGTACCCCATAATTTAACCCATTTTTGGGTGGGAAGTAGGAGAAGAGACAATGTTTCTAATACAGATATTTAAAATACTGGAATGTATATTTATAAAAATATAAATTAACCTATCTTAAACTAAACAACTGAAAGTTACATCACTTCGGAAAATGAAAACTGAAAATGAACATTTTGTACATTAAATATGTATTTGCCAGCTAGAGATTTGATTATGATTAAAGAAAACCTGTCTTATTAAATCCACTCTACTTGGAAATCAAAAATTCATTTATTTTTTTAAAATAATTCTTTTATTTAACTTATTTACTTTAATTTGACCAGAGAGGAATGGAGTGAATGAGTGAGAGAGAGAGAGAGAAAAAGAGAGAGAAAGCAAGCTGCCAGGTCCGGGACTCGAACCATGGTTGGCCATGTGGGAGTCCAGCACTCTTAACCACTACGCCACCTGCTGGCCCCCAAAATTCATTTCTTTTAAAGGATTTTTTTTTTTTTGGCGGGGAGAAATTTTTGCTAGGGCACAAATGCTCGCCAGAGAGACAGAAGTGAGAAATCACCCCCAAGGATGGTCATGCCTCAATCCCTTCTCCTCCGTTTTCCTCCCGGGATCTTAGTACACACATGTGCCCAGCATGAATTTTAAGCCACTGGGTTTGGAACTTAAACTGCAGTAGACTACATGGGAGTCCAGTGACATAATCATTATGCCATCTGCTGGTCCCTCTTTCAAAGGATTCTTAACTTCGAAAAAAGGGAAAAATACTAAAATACCCTGTGCCCACTAGCATGCCCAGGCATATTTTAAGTATTAAGAACTATTGGGACCAGCAGTTAGCGTAATGGCTATGTCGCTGAACTCCCACATCGTTGACTGCAGTTTGAGTCCCAGACCTGGTGGCTTAAATTCATACCAGGTGCTTGTGCGTGTGTGCCCAAGATCCCGAGAGGAGAATGGAGGAAAAGGGATTGCAGCGTGGCCACCCCCCGGGGGGGGATTTCTCGCTTTCTGTCTGTCTGTCTCTGTCTCTCTGGCAAGCACACGTGCCCTATAGCAAAAAAAACTCTCCAAAAAAAAAGAACAATTACTAATTGATGTGCTAAATGGTTGTGTGTGTGTATACGTGGGCACACTACATTGTTTTTAAATGAGGAAGAGGGGAAGAGAGGTGTTTTTGATAGTGTTTTCTGTTGCAGTCCTCCTGCCCCAGCCCTCCAGTTTGTTAGGGTTACAGGTATGTGCCACCATGCCCAGCCCATACAGGTTGGCCTGGGATCTGAACCTGGGACTCAAAAAAGGCCCCAGACTCACAGAGCAGTGCTCTACTACTTGCACCACCATGGCTGGGCCTCATGTCAAATGTTTTTTTTTTTTTGAGAGATTTTCACTGTAGGGCACGTGCGCTCGCCAGACAGACAGAGAGAGACATAGAGACAGAAAGCGAGAAATCACCCCGCAGGGGGGATGGTCACGCCGCAATCCCCTCTCCTCCATTCTCCTCTCGGGATCTTGGACACGCACGCACACGCGCCCGGCGTGAGTTTTAAGCCACCGGGTCCGGGACACGAACCGCGGTCGACTACGTGGGAATCCAGCGACATAGCCATTAACGCTAACTGCTGGTTCCCACGCCAAATGTTTTGACATACCTCTCATTATCCTCATAATAACTCTGTAAGGCATTGGTATATCCCATTTGAAAAAGAGCTGCTGAGAGGTTAACTTGCCCTTGTGATTCTAAGCTGGTGGTCTGACCCCAAGGCTCATGATCATCATCACTGTACTCCATGGCCTCTTCTCTTTCTCTGCAGTTTTCAATGCCTAATGCTCATGGGTTTTTTGTTGTTGTTGTTTTCATTTGCCATTGTCTCTAGTGGAAAATATATGAGTACCTAGCAGAAGAGTATTGGTGAAGTCATCAAGAAGGCAACCAAAGGACAGAGAGGAGGAGATACTTGCCCTAAGATTAAAGGCCTTTGAAGACCAAAGTCCCTGCATACGTCAGTCACTAAAGTTCAGCGTCAGCCCTCTTAGTCAGAGTGTGCACTGGGAGCAGATGAAGGTGGATTTATTTCTATGCTGTTCTGTGGCCACCCTCCATGACCAAAAGGGAATAGACACCTCGAGAAGCCTCTTCTAAACTACAGAAGTAGTCATGGGTCACTGTCAGCAGCAAAATCTTGGAAATAATAAAAGTTAAAAACTAAAGGGAGGGGGCCAGCTGACAGTGTGGTGATTAAGGTGGCAGGATCCCACATAGTTGACTGTGCAGTTCAAGTCCCAGACCTGGCAGCTTGAAAGTTATGCCAGACATGTGGGTGAGCATGGTTAGAATCCTGAAAGGAACAATGAAGGAGAAATTTGACCATCCTTCATGGGGGGTGCTTTTTCTCCTCCCTGCCCCCATCAGTGCATGTGCCCTATGACAAATTTAAAACAAACAAAACTCAAGGGAGAGCTGGCCCATGACTTGGTAATTTAAGGTAGATCCCATATGGCCAACCATGGTTCAAATCTTGGCTCCAGCAGCTTGGAAAATATGCCAGGCACGAGTGTGTGCCTCAGATGCAGTAAGATAGAGAAATGGAGAAGGGATGGGGCATGCCTTCTCTCTCTACCACTGTCTCACTCTGGAGAGTCCAAGTGCTCTTTGGCAATAACAAAGTAACGACAACTAAAGTGAAGGCAAAGGAAAACTTTTAATATTTTTAAAAATAATTATTTTATTTAACTTTATTCATTCATTCATTTATTTAAATTTGACCAGAGAGGGACAGAGAGAGAGAAAGAGGGAAACTGAGAAAGCAAGCTGCCAGGTCCACGACTCAAAACTGTGATTAGGCACATGGGAGTCCAGTGCTGCTGATGCTTTTTTTTTTTTTTTTTTTTTGGAGAGGTTTTTGCTATAGGGTGCATGCACTTGCCAGAAAGACAGAGAGACAGAAAGCAAGAAATCACCCCCCAGGGTGGCCATGATGCAATCCCCTCTCCTCCATTCTCTCAGGATCATGGGACCTTACGCACATGCACCTGGGGTGAGTTTAAGCCACCGGGTCTGGGACTCAAACCACAGTCGATCTGCTGGTTCCGGAAGACTTTTAATATTAACTGAGTCTGGAGCTGGGAAGAATGTGCACAGCCTGACTCCTACAGAATTCCTCTCTTCACGCTCTCACATTTCCTGGAGTACTACAGCTACAAAAGAGAGGACTACTGACTCACCCAAGAGAGGAGCGCAGCTGCTCGGGTGGCATGGAGCGTCATCTTGGTGACTCGAGATAGTCACCCCGATGCACCTGGAACCCAAAGGAGGAAGAAAAGCATTAGATTCATTATCTATAACCAAGGAGCAGAGGGGAACTGCTTCCATTTCCCACTTAAATCATTTATCACTTTGCATATAATCCAACAAGGCACCAGGGGAATTTTTAGAGAGCTCAGAGTAATACATGAAAATTACCATAGAGCTTATCATGTTGGAGCTAACGGCGAAGAATCCTGCATTAAATTCAACGTCCACAAGCTCCCACACAATCTCTCAGTTCCACAGAAAACAGAACACTCAAAGCTGGACATGGTGTCCTTAAATATGGAACAAATATGGTTTTTTCAGACAGGTCTGGGTGTAATCACTGTCTTCTGGCTCTTTCTGCAGGTCCCAAATTCCACCTAATTACCAAATCCTTGGGGAAACGTCTCTAAATTCTAGATTTTTCTATCCTCCATAGAACTGTCAAAGATAGATATGGTTAAAATAGGGGATTGGGCACATCCAAAGAAAGGTCTCTAGATGAAGCCATGCCCAATTGTGGAGATCCCATGGGATGCTAATGGAAGATTAGGCACTTGTCCTGGTATTCTTATACCCAATTTCCTTTCCCACTGGGAGTCTGCCATCTGCCTGCCAACCTACCCAAGAGACCACAGGCCTGATGATTAAACCCACACCCCCTCGCAGCCCCTACACTGCCCACAAATCTCTAGGGGTGCAATCAGCCCCACCCCCACCTCCTCTGTTCAGTCTGTCACTATTCTTGGAGGGGAACAAGAGTGGTAAGAACCATATCACCAATGAATTTCAGACATACTGGCATCTCCAAGGTGCGGGTTCTGTGGCCCAACCTTCGCTAAGTACCTCCTCTATGCAAGGTGCATAGAGATGCCACCCTTACCCATAGACTCACTGTCTGGTAGGGAAAAGAGAGACAAAAATCTGATCATTCAATTGCTATCATCTTATGGTCCTTCTCATCCAAGGGTACTTTGCTTATCAACCAACCAAAAGGTATTTCCGTAGTCCCTGTTATGGTCACCTTGTGTTGGGAGCTATGTGTGATATGGGAGACAACGACATGATTGGTCCCCGCTTTTAAGGGGCTTACAGCAGGATAAGAAGTAAAATTAAATATAAAAGAAGCACTAATGGAATAAAATGATTAAATGCTAAATATAACTGCATGCTAATTATAATTAAGTGCTTCCTGACCCTGCAAAACCCAACATGATTCCACCTGACATACCAACGTCACAGTCTTGGAAGTGTGCCAGTTTGCTCATTCAGGCCCGATTTACTCAAAGGGCTTTGGCAAGAGTAAGTGAGATGGTGAAGGGAAACCTCAGGAGGGCCTAGAGCTTATGCATTCCTTATCTTGAGTAATTTTTACCAAATCCATGGATACCGAAGGCCTAACCCTTAGGCCAGGCCAAGATGAAGGCAGATGGCTTCAATTACTGCCTTGCAAAAAGGCTTTTCTGGTGCCGGCCGACCTAAAGCTAGAGCGCCCATGCTCGACCCATGTGGTGAAGGTAGCAATAGCCAAATGCTCAACTGGGGCTTCTTTTTAAAGCAAAACAAAACAAAAAGACTGTGAGCTGTTCAATACCAAGGGGATCCAGGCCCAGATCACCGTCCCCTCAGCCCCACTGCAGCCTATAGGTCTGCAGTCCTGATGAGGCCCAGCACTACAGTCAGAAATTTTATTTGCAACGGGTGGGAGGTAGGTCTTGCCCACTCGGAGAGATCCTACAGCTGTGCTGCTAAAAATGACCTTAGGTTTAACCAACCTTTTCTATTCATCTCAGAGGCAAAACATGCAACCCTCTGTTCTCCCAGGAGAGCCTGTCTAAAACTAGTTCCGCCGCTTGAGAAAATTAGTGTCAAGACCAGATGCCCTTTTCTGGGCTCCTCGAGCTGAAAATGGGAGGAATCCAAACTCCTGAAGGACCTTGTCAGCTCAAAGCCCATTAAGGGGCACTTGTTCAGAGACAGGATACCAGGGTGAAAGGCTTGAGGGGAGCCCAGTCATTCACTCTTCCCTGGGAAACGGCTGATTGAAGCCAGCACCCCCGGCAGGCCTCAGCACTGGGACTGTAGCTTTAAGCAGGGCTTGGCTTAGAACTCAAGGCTCCTGGCCAGAGCACCATCCTCCCCACCCTCCCCCTGAAATCTGAGGCAAGCCCCACCCAGAAGACTGGGTGATGGTGATGGAAAGACAGATCCCTACGATGTAGCCTGCAGTCATTTCACAGAAGGATCTCCTGAAATCAACCACGATTCAACTGGGTACCCCACAAACCCCAATCAACAAACAAAGAAACAAACCCCCAGAATACAGGCCAGGCCTTCTGGGGGCACCTTCAGAGTTCCCACCTGCCTGAAATGTCTTCAAAATTTAAAGCAGAGGCTTCGGAGAGCTGGTATGATACTCAGTGTTTTTGCTGGTTTTGATAAGGAATCAAGACACAGAAGCAGCTACTTATAAACTTAAGGCCCTGCATCCTCATGGCATTTTCCAAACTGACATAATACAACTCCCCCACATCAGGACCAATTTCCACACTCACAGCCATCCTCCTGTGTTTCTAGGAAAACTGTAATAGGACAAGGGACACACAAGTCACTGGCCTGCACCCTCACTGGATCTTAAGGAGTTAAAATCTAGCCTTGGTCTCCTAGGAGGACTGAAGCTAATGCAAACCACCTGCTCAGCTGAAGGACCAGGGACTAGAGGGTTCAGGTTGCTGAGCTCTGGGGTCTGTGCTAAAATAGCTTTAGTTTTAGCGCAAACCGCAAAGGAGAGATAGGCCAAAGGCCAGAGGGTCTGAGTGGCAGCAGCACTGCTTCCTTACCCCGCCCCCTGGCCAGAGTGCCAGCTCCGTTGGAGAAGGCTTCTTAGGCGCTTACTGCCTGCCCGGAACACCAACCCTACAAGATCCCAGAGTGACCTTTGGTCCCAGAGAGCTGTACTGGTCTGGCAACTCATGGGACCTTACCTCCACTGAACGCTCATTCTCCTAGTGCTAACTCCCAGAATAACCGGGTTCAAAGCCCACACAAGATTCCTCCTAAGAGGGTCCTCCTTGAACCTCAACACCCTCTGGCACAATGATTCCAAAGGCCCAGAGACTCCCAGCTCACAAAGGAAATGGCTGCCCCCTCTGTGCACCGTGCTCAGTGGCAGCATTCGCCACCACTCACCCAGAGCCTCCTGCCTGTAGCTGTGAGTATTCCATGCTCTGCACACCTTTCTAAAAGAGATCCCTCCCAAGTCTGAGAGAGATCGCACGCAGGGTGAACACCCTGGTTCTGGGGCTCCTCCTCCCCTAACTCTGGCAGGCACAGGCATGCAGGTCCCCCCGGCCCTCACCTGGCAGATCACCCCAGAGGGGCCCAGCAAGGCCAAGCCAGCTCCCCATAGGCTACCGCCACAGAAAACAGAACAGGAAACATCGCGTGGGTACATCCCCTTGCCCCGAGAAGATAAAAGGCCAAAGGACCAGCAGCTCCAAGAGAAGTCCAGGAAGATAAACACCATCTCCCAACTCCTGGCGAGTCCAGGGCACTGACTGGTCCAAGTCCAAAGAGTTTCTCTGCACTCCAGTGGTCAGGGGCAAACCAGCCTGCTGCAGGGATCCCCTGGTCCCTCTAAAGGGACCACCAGCTCTGGGCTCGGGCTTCCCTCTGCTTTTCACGCAGCCACCCTTTCTTTGTAGCTCAGTTTGGCCCAGAGCCCTAAGGCTCTGGAGAGGAGCGCGGGAGGGACTGCAGGGGAAACCAACATTCCCTGGTTTCTTCAAAAGTGGCTCCTGATCTCCACCCCTCCCCCACGTGCTGTATGGTCCAGATCAGGAGATGCGGGCAAGGGCTGCACTCAGGAGCCAGACCTGAGGCCTAGGAACCTGCTACTGCGCGTGCACACACACCCAGGGCCCTGCCGCAGCTCCTGGCGCACACTCTGGTCCCCACCAGCTGACAAAATGAACCTGCTCACTGCCCACCGCTGCTCCCCAGCCAGGGCTTCGCAGCCGAGAAGCCCCTCCTGAGCTGTCTACGCAGCTCGACGTGCACACACGCTTTGCCCTCTGAACAAAACACTGACATCGACTCGAGGGGGAAAGAAAGCAACCCTCTGCTCTGAAAGGCGCCAACTCCCGGATGTTGGCAAGCTCTGCTCCCAGTGCCTGTTTCTGAGTATGTTTACTTGCTCGCCCTCCTCTCTCCCTCCCCTTTAAGGATGGCGCAGGGAAGGGAGGTGAGGGGGGAGCATCCACCCCACCCCCTCGTCCATGTTTGAACAAAAACCCAGAGAAAGAGTGGGGGAGAAAAAGTCTCAGTGCAGGGGGCCTTACCAGACTCCTAAAGCCAAACGTATCTACAGGTTTTAATCCGCCATTAGCATTAAAATCTTGAAAGGAGAGGAGAAAGGGGGGCCAGTGGAAAGTAACCCCACACACAAAAGAAAAGTTGTTGGTTTTCTTCTCAGTCAGCCTGGCAGGAGCGATCTTCCTGGCTGACAGCCAGAAGTGCGTCACAGCCAGGAGTCTGCTTTCTTTAAAGGCACAGCAAGCTTCCGCGGTCTGGGAGTGACTGCGGAGCAGGGAACTCTCGGCGGGGTGGGGGGCCGGGGAGAGGGGCGCACTGGGGAGGAGGGGCCGTGGAGGCGAGGGCTGGAGGTTTGGTCCACAAACAAGGGAACAGGGCGCATGGGGGTGGGGCGCGAGCAGGCAGAAAAATCACTGAACTGCAGCGATGTGAGAGCCAGGCCAAACTCTGGCAGAAACACAGCAACATCTCACAGCGGCCTGACAAACCTGGGATCACCTGGACATTCCCCCTGCGTTCTCTTTCCACCCGGAGCTTAGGGCAGCAGTGACGGCATGGCCATCTCTCTGGCCAGCAGCGGAAGGGTAGGCCAAAGGCTGCCCGATGATTAGATCAGCCCCTGCCTGGCGGCAGGCAGGGCAGGGAGGAAGACCCGGGAATAGAGACTTTGAAGAGCAAGCAAAATGCAGGCCC